AGTTTCACATGTGAACACAAATTCAAGCACGGAAACTAAAGATTAGCGTATGAAACAATCAAAACTTCAATATATGTGTTACCTGATACGACGGGTTGCTCTTTTGCGCAGAGAAAAGGTTTTGGCGATGGACAAATATCCCCACGGAACAAGGTGCTTGTCTCAAGACATTCAAGTTAGCGTTCCTACGCATGACATCGTCTGAGACCACCGTTGTCTGGTCAAGGGACCATATTATGTGGAAAGGGAGCATGATGAAAGAAGCTTGTTTGTCGAGAGCGAGCGCGTAAATCTCTTGGTGCATGTACTTAGGGTTTGATATGGATGTGAACAATTCCAGCGATATCGATTTCCAGTAATGTTTGAAGTTATCAAAAGCGATTAGGACGTTGTTTGAATAAGACCGGTTTCCGGGCTCGGCCTTTTGCATCTGGTGGGAGATGAAGACTGGATTGTCTAAACCCACAAGCTCGACGAGGTGAAGCACGTAGCAAGAGATTGTGGATTCATGTAGAGGAAAAGACTGTCCTAGAAGGTTGATCATCCCTGAGATGTGGTCTGCTTTGTGAATGCACACTAGAAACTTCAGCTCTGATCCAAGCTTCAGGCTCATTAGATTCCGCTTCTGGAAACTAATGAATCGTTTTGACGAATCATATAGGTAATGTATCAACACTGGTGATATCGTAGAGCTCACTAAAATCATCAATGCCATTATCGAGAAGGACTTCACATGAAGAACCTGTATATTAACACAAAAAATTAATCTTATAAAACAAGAAAAGAAAAAAAAAACAATAAGTGTTGGAGAATTATGAATTGTCTTGAATATAAAGAAAAAATATTGGAACTCACATTGCTTTCAACGCCATACATAAAATAACACAGCTCAACAATTCCTTTGTTGCTGAGGATGAGTGCCATAACGAAAGAGTCGGTTAGAGGCATTTTGGCTAGCAATGCAGGAATCGTTGAGAAGACAATCTTGGCGACTAAGACAACGATGATGATGGTCAAGGCTTCATACAACTGACCTTCAAAATGCCATATTTGACCGATCTCCTTAGCTATCCAAGGTCCATCGATTTGCATCATTGAGAAGAACAAGAAAAGTGGCAAAAGGATTCCAGTGTTAAAGCTTTCAAACTTTTCTATCAGTAGAGACCCTAGAGGAGGACCGTGAGGCACACACAAACCCAAAACGAAGGGTCCAACAGCCGGAAACATGTGAATTTCCTTCAAAAAATAGTAACCACCGAAGGCTAAAATGAGGATGATGTAGATGAAGCATTCCTTCACCGGTCTCTCTTGTGGTGTCCTTCTGATCACCCAAAACATCGCCGGTCTCACAACCCAAACCATGACTATGACATATCCGATAATTCCTACGCCTTGCAGCGCAGAAACCCTCCAGTCCAACCACGCCACAAGGGCAAATAGATTAACAGCAAAACCCGTTACATCCGCCACCATAGCGGTGGAAAGCACGATCCTGCCAAACTCTGAGTGGTTGATCTTGAGATCCCTTAATAGCCTTGAGATACCCGTGAACGCCGAGATGCTCTGCATGAATAAAATTGTTCTGTACTCCATTCCTGTCAAGTATTTCCCCCCGGTCTCTCTTAGCTTACCAAACACCATGTTAGCCACGAAAATGGGGAGAAGAACAGTGACAATTCCTGTTACAATCACTTTCGTACCAGTCTTCTTAACCATCCCAACATCCATTTTAACACCTTCGAGGAACCAATAAAACACAAAAGCGAATCCACCGAGCGTCTCAGGGACTTTTGGCCTATAATCATCCGGGAATAAAATGTGTTGGATCGTCCAGTCATTCGGCAAAAGACTCGTCTGGCTCAAAGTTGCCCCGGCCTTCAACATTATTTTCCGATCACTCAGTCAAAGCAAACAATTTTGATACAAAAGAACAAAAGAGGAAGAAAGGGTCTTACAATCATCATGGAGGTGATCTTTGGCACAGGGAGGCCTATCATCTTTAGGGAGAAATAGAAAAACTGCCATAAACAGAGTACTAGGACGATTACGCTCTCGAGAAGGGGAAGACTGTAGTCCCATATCTTCATCCCGAGAACAGGTAAACCTAGCTTCTCCCACACGCCAAAAGAGTTCACAAGCATGGGTATTTGTTCGCAGAACTTGGTCCCGTCTTCATTATAGCCATATCCATGATATGAGAAATCCGACCAGAAGGTTGCGTTATATGCCTCCATTTCTTTTTACAAACCCCGATGCCTAGATTCTTAATTTTTCTTCTTGAGAGAAGAAGAAAACAAGAGAAAGAGATTTACAATTTCCACAAAAAAATTACAAAATCTTGGTGTTACATTGTCTTATTAGAATATACTACTAAAAATAGTTGATATTAATCTTTGTCTCTCTCTATTTCTTTTTTTGTTGTTGTTAACTGTCTGTTTACCTGGCGACTAATTTACATGTTTGTTTTACCTCTCTGGTTGTTTAAAAACCTCCATTAAATTGTGTCTATCAAAGTTTTGTTAGAGATCCCGACATATCCGGGAAACGTACTAGTTTTGCATGTATCCTTACGTTATAAAAGTCTTGATAAAGTTATTAAATCGTCAAATATTATTTTTTTAAAATCCATATTTCAACAAATTTAATACACTTACAGAGTAATAAAATGTAAAGCATTTTAACCCAAAAAAAAGAATAGAATAATAATGAAAAGAAAAAGACAAATGAAATGATTGGACAAGAACAAAACCAAAGCAGAAATTTAGAAAAGAAAAACACACACACAATCAATCAAGGGCACATATAGCAAATTTTGCACACAAATGAAACCAATTCAAGATGATGATAATTCAAACTAAAGACGAGTTTTGCATAAGACTCTCTGGAATCCATCCAACGAGCTTGATGTAACGTTGATCATTACAGGCGTACACACAGCCTTCAAAGTACGTCTCCTCGACCGGAAAATCCACGTCTTGTAGCTCACTCTAGCCGTTATATACACTTCCATTTCGATCGTCCCTTTTGATTTTTCAGCCCTCAAGTCCCTGGCATTGAACTTAGACAGTGCCACATTCTTGGACACAAGCTGCGTCTCAATCCTAGTCTCGTTCTTAGGACGTTGCTTGAAAGGAGAGATATTTTTGTGAGCCACGGACTGGTTATGATGAGCCGTGGAGATACGCATGGAGTGGTATCTTACGGAGACATGTTTCTCCGGGTTGTATGATTTGATCACATAGCTGAATTTTGCGGTGATATGATCGTCATTGTTGCCTATAGCAAAATCTTGGACCGACGCGGCTTCTACCGTGTAGATGAGTCGCTTTGGCCTAAGTGTGAGGTATGTGATCAATATGGCGAGACCCACAAGGAGTCCCAAGAGGACAAGGGCGACAATGATGCATAGGACAGGGTTCATACGCCTGCCCGGAAGGGGTTGCGGTCGAGGTTGCAACTGCGATTGCGATTGTGGCTGCGGTTGCGTTCGCCGAGCCGGTTGGTGGGCTGGGTTTGGAGGCACCATTGTCAGAGAAGATTTTGATGGACTTCTAGTTAATTGCTTGGAAAGGATAGAGAGCAAAGATTAATCTGATTGCTTTGATATGGTAACGATACATTATATATATATAAAGGGACTAACACGGACAATTAGATTCTTTGCCTTTGTATAAGGATTAGTCACAAAACTATTGATTTAAAATTCTTAATTCTTTGGCATTGCTTGTGAATAAATCAAGAAATCTTGGAAGCTGGAAGATTCCTACTTTTTTTTTTCTTGGTTTTAATTCTTTGCTTCTTGTTGTAACGTTGTACAACACTACAACTTTGGGTGGTAATAATAACATCTATGTTTTCTTTTTCCGATTTATCTGTAAATTTGGTCGTATGCATATGTATATCTAACATCAACGATCTCATTCACATGTAAATTACAATTTCATTAACACACAATAAAATTAAGTAAAATGGAATTTGTGTGGTGTGTGCTTGGTTTCAATTTAGTTAATGACAAAATTCAACATTCTGATTCACGTGAAGATATTACAGCTGAATTGCATGAATATATTATAGAGGAAGAAAAAAGAAATGTGTGAGATTGTAGGCGTCACTCATCAGTAATACATTTGCTCAGCTAAAGCCTAAAATTTTTTCTTGAGTAGAGAGATAAATTTCCATTTACTTTAACTAACATTGTTATGATTAGTTATGTTCCTTTGCTTTGTCGGAAGCCTTTATTCCTTTCCCAAAATGTGTAAAGGAAATAAAGATAGTCAGGAAAAAATGTTGTGAACAAAAATAAGAAAAAAAACAAACAACATTTTTCTGCAGAAACAAAAGCCAATCAAAGACAATGTTGTAAGATGTATTCCCCTGCTACATTTTTTGGCCAATGAGTACATGTTCTAGCCAATGAAAGATATTTGTTCAAAACAAAAGCCAATCAAAGACAATGTTGTAAGTTACAACTTTCTTCTGCAGATATAAATTCACATCCATATCAAAAAAAAAAAAAAAAAAACTCACGACTCTGGTTTTGCTTTGAAAACTTAACCACTAAGATTCACTTCTGTTTACACTTGGGCCCAGGCCCAATTTAAGACCGAAGGAGGGACTTATTACATTTGGGCCCACGTCCAGTTTACTTCTGTTTCGCTAACAGAGCCGTTAACAAGCGGAGAAAGCAGAACAGAGCAACGTGGGAGTTTCTTTTTTTTTTTTTTTGTAACTTTTTTTTCTTCTTGTAACTTTCTCTCTCTACTCTCAATTTTGTTCATGTAACAAGAAACATGATCAATGAGATCAAGGTATATAGTAGATGTTTCAATTTTCAAACAAAGAACTTTGGTGTTCTGTTATGTTGTTTCACCTTCCGTCACGAATGCGTTTGATCGAGTTAAAAGTTTTTTCTTTTCTTTTTTTTCTTTTTTTTTTTTTTTTTTTAAAGTTTTTTCTTATGCAGAGCGAAATATGTGTTGCTCAGCTCGTAAAAACATAAATTAACGCGAAACGAGGAGAATGTTCCGGTTCAGTCGATATAACAAGAAGAGCTACTACAAATAGATAGATCAACAACAACAAAACTTAAAAATCAAGAGAAACATTGCCAAAGATTCCAAAGTTGCCCGGTCAAAGAGAAAGATATATGATGTTCGACTATTGTCCATTGTGGTTGCCGTTGACCAACAAATACGTTTTCAAGTTGGTCAAAATCCTTATCTCTCATCTCGTCCAAACATGTTCATCAACGCTTCTTACTATAGCCTATAGTAACTGTCGGGAACCCCTTAAACTGGCTCAGGACAAGATCAGAAGAATAATCATAATTATTAGAAGAACAAATGTCAACAAAATAATGATAATAATCATCACTAAACGACTAACCAGAAGATCTTCGCCGTGGGTTTTTGGCTCGTCTTTGCTCTTATTGTTAGTCATGCTTCCGGGTGAAAGATGGCGATCATAAGTTGTGAAAGATATAAGACGAGGGTTTTATATATAGAAAAAGAAAATGCATGTGACACGAGTAATGAAACTTAAAAAAGGTTATTGCAAAGTGATGATACATGCTCTTTTGTACTATAAAGTATGCTTTTGTAATTAATTAGTATAATCAACTTAAAAAGAAAAAATACAGTTGAAGTGGGATCAATTTTTATTTTCACCTTTTTATTTGGGATATATTTCTACAAATCGAATAACTAATGGAATATTCCTTTTGGTGCTGCTGCTTATGCATAAATTGTTCTTTTTCCCATACTACATGTCGTATGCATTCTGAGTTGGTTGTGTGTTTTTACACAAACACACAAACTCAGACACGTTCTCATTTGTGTATCAATCTATGTATAGTTGGTGGTGGAGAAGGTGAAGGAGAAAGGATCTTCCAAGGGATATGCGGCGACCAACTTCAATGCTCCGCATTTAATGACTACTTTTTACTTTTACCTTTTCCATAGTTCCCATTATCTTTTCCCTTTTTCTGCATCACTTGTCAATAGCTCTGTTTATACAAAGACACACAAGAACACATAGTGTTCAGAATATTATACTCTAGTGGATTTCATTAATTTTTTATTTCGAAAAACAACCAATTCTTGCTCGAACGATGGCATTATGTTACGAACCTAGTGACAAATACCAAGATGTCCCTATGGGCATCGATTCCACCCACCTAGGTTGGATGGGCGTGCTTCGTTGGAAAACATGGATCCGCCTAGGCTGTCCCAGGGGTGAGCAAGGTGTGAATGTCGCCCATGGGCATCGACATCTTGCGGCTTTGAACGGAAACGGAGATAAGCGCAAGATCGTACTTCGTACGGAAAAATTGTACCAAAAAAAAAAACCTAGTGACATGTACATATTTTTCAAACTAAATTTTTCCATTAACAGAGGATTTTTAAACCATCAAATCACAACATATCTCATTAAACCGTCAACAACTGAGTCAGCTGTCAAACTCGATTGTCATGTTAGTTGTCACTTCATAACTTAAAAATTGCATCTTTCCACTGATTTTAAGTACTAACAGAAACTCTTTTTTGTATTTTTGTCAAATTTTTCTTCTTTTCAAATTTCTTTTAATCAGACGAACAACAAAAATCTTAGAGCATGGTTATAGGTGATACTAATATAATATCATTAAAAATTTTTTAATATTATTTATAATATTTGTTTATTATTTAAAAATTTTTATGATACTCCTACTAAATATATTTACATTGGTTAGACCGGTTTAAGTATCATAAAAAAAAATGCACAAAATCAAAAATTAATATATTAAAACATATAATTACAAAAGATAATATTACAATAAAAGAAAAAATTTTCTCTTTTTTCCCACAAAAACGCGTTTCTCCGACTAATCCCGAACCGCCATATTATCAGAAACTAGTATCACAAGTATCACTCCAGTGATACTATTCAGGCCCAAATTAATTATTTTACCCATAAAAAATCTGGTATGTACATGGTCTTAGAGAAACGAAATATGAAAGCTAAATAAACCACGATTGAAATTATCAAGTACCCATCTCCTTTTCGACAACAAGAAATATTCTACAGAACATTCATAAAACACGAAACGAAATAATCACATAATTATGGAAACATACTCTCTAAGTTAACCTTCCCCTAACATTAAAGTTGGAAAACATTACAAGAAAATTAGATACAACGATTAATTAGGGAATCAAAACTAACTAACGTTTCCTACTACCATAACCAACATAGTTACTAACAGCTTTAGAGCCTTCAGCGACGGCGTGGCGGCTAAGTTCACCAGGGAGAACCAACCTCACCGCTGCTTCGATCTCCCTCGACGACAACGTCTTCCGCTTCGTATAATCACTTAACCTCGCCGCCTCCTGCGCTATTCTCTCGAACATATCTCCCATGAACATGTTCACTACCGTCATCGCCTTTGACGTTATCCCTAAATCCGGATGCACTTGCTTCATCACTTTATACACATATCTCCTATACTCATCTCCTGCCAAATCGTCTCGCTTCTTCTTCTTTTTTTTCTTCTTCTTCTTCTCAACCGTATCTGTTTTTTTCAAAGTGCCTTCACTCTTGGAAGCGGGAGTTTCCGGTGGCTGAGGTGACTGTTCATCTCGAACCTCCACCGGAATCTCAACCGTAGTAACGTTTTCTCCGACGGGAATAGAGAAAGTGAGATCTTGCGTCTCTTGATCGTTTGCTGTCTCGGTGGTCACACACGGATCTTCTCCTTCCGTGACGGTTACTTTGATTGTCTCTTCCACTACTTTCTTCTTCTTCGTCACGGAAACCACCTTTGGTTTTCTCGGCGCCATTTTCTTCGTTAGTGAAACCGTAAGTGTTAAGTGGTTAAGATATAAAAAGGCTTTTTGGGATGGGGTAACAGTAATTCTCCGATTGACATGTGGTGACACGTGTCGTTCGAAGACCTAAACGTTGGTGATTAACACTGCGCGGTGGTTGTAAAAACTAAAAACTACAAAGTAAGAAAACTTATCCGGTGATTCGTACCTGTTTTAAATAACTAACCCAAACCCGATGGGCATATCAATGGGCCTATAACTACATCTAAACGGGTCTCAAAAGCCCACAACATCCTTAACCGTACTTAATTTTACATGTATAATTTTTATTTTCGATAATATATTTTTTAAATGAAATTATATGTGACCAAATAAGACCACTATCACCAGTTCACGGTTCACCAGCACCAGTTAAAAAAACAAATTTCGTTCCCAGAAAACAATGTAATGTAAAAAAAAAAAAGAAAGTAATTTCAATTCATTACAAACTTGAAACATGTTTGGATTTGCCGCTAATTATTTGATCGCTAATTTTTCTATATTTTCTTGTTCTCATTATTGTAATTTTCTTTCTTTATCATGGTTCGTAGAAGCAATTTTTTTTTTTTTATCCCAGATATAAAAACGTTCTACTACGATATATACATAATGATCTAATCTTTATTTTAAAATGATGTCATGCTCGATCATTCAGTGACAATTTTTTACGACCAAATTAACCAAAAAAAAAAAAATTCAACCAAAGCTAAGTAAATATGTTTTTAACCCTAATCACCTAAAGATGAGATGGTTATCATAATTCACCTATAGTCTCCCATCTCTAAGTTCTTTGTTATTTCTAAATCTTAGAAACAAAATCCCACCATCTTTTGAGACATCATGAAGATCAAAGTGTTAAAGACAAAAATAAAAAGACCGAATAGACAAAATCATGTACACAAGCAGAGTTAAAATCCCATAAAGAAACACGAATTCGGACTAAAGATTATTATAATAAGTAGTATATAAAGCGATTGAAAATTATGTGTAAAGGTAAAGAAAGAAGAGTATATCTACAGAATCAAATTTGATTCAGGCACTATAACTCCTCCGTTTCTTACGGATATGGTTTGGTTCGTGAACAAATAAAGTCTCTACCTCTTGGCTTCCGACGTCGGTGGCTTCGAAGAACCGAAGATCTTTGGACAATCTTTTCTTCTTTGTCAGAGAAATCTCACGCGGTCGCTTTCTTGGCGGCGGAGGACATGTCTCCACCTCCGGAATCTTGTGATCACTTGAAGTTGGAGTACACAAAGATTCTAACAACTCTTCTTTCTTCGATGTCTCTTGATGATCTTCTTCTTCTTGGCTTCTGGGTTTCTGCTCTACTGTCTTTTCTTCTTCTAGGGGCTCGAGAACCTTAGACATGGTCACATGGATGTGAAAGTTTCGTGGGTTTTTACCTTCCAAAGGAAAGAATATTAATTTGAAAGTGAAACTGGAATATAGAAAGTGATAGGTAGAGAGAGAGAGAGAGAGAGATAGAGAAAAGGGAGAGATTAAAGAGTTTGTATTTTGCGAAAATGTCCATGTATGTATTAATCTTGAATAAATGAATATTCGGATATTCAATGCTTTTTGTGCAACTTAATAGTTTTGGGAATTAGAAGTGAAACTTTTCAACTGCCCCTGTGTCCCAAACCTATCCTCAATTAGTTAGTTAGATTCATTATTAGTCTTTTACGTAATTAATTTGTATACTAATTTGGTTAACCATTAAAATAAACATTGTTAAGTACTGTATGTATTAAAAATTGAAAGTTAACGGAGAAGCTTATCCAAAATATGACTCATGTGTCACATCATCCTTCGATTGTATGTCTAAATACGTACAAATGGTTGGCATAGGATACCATTTCATCAACTTAAAAATAATATTTTCATTTCATAATTGATGTCCACTTTCCGACTCGCCCCTTTGGAATTATTCGCTGCTTCGCGGCCTACTATATGAACCAATCAGATACGGCCATGTCATCCTCCACTTTGATTTGTGTTCGAGAATTACTCATGTTACTATAGTCTTTTCTCGATGAACAAAATTACTTAACAAGGCTAAATGATATTTGGTAGGTTTTATATTTAAATCACTATGTGATCTATATATAAACCACAAGTTACTTGATCAATCAAACTGAACATGTATTTTAAATTTGTCCCCCCCCCCCCCCTTGAAGTAAGTATATGTTGATGTTATGTTGGCATTTAGTGTTTGCATCGAATGGTCGTTTCTGTCAATGGAAGACGTCCCGTCGCTGGCATTGAACGTACGGTAATAAGCATTAAATCTTAACAGTGTGATACATAATTTCTCTTATAGCTCATCACCCACTCTCTCTCTCTCTCTCTTTTTTAAAAGAATTTGGTGCATGTGAAGATTTGGTCACTAGAGTATCGTTTCTAGATGTTCAAGAGAGTAGTTGGAAGGCCGTATTGAAATCTATATGAGGTGGTAGAAACAAAATCTTCTTTTACATCGAATAAATGAAGACTCTTCTGATGATGCAGATTTTGTTCCAACTTCATTTGCTCTTAAGAGTCCTACGAGATCGTCAAACTTTTAAGAGAAATATATTGTCCTTTTAGGTTGTTATCGGTCATCAGGGAGATGTAGGGGCCATGACTGTACATTCTTTTTGGCCTATCAAAACTCGATTCTCTTTTTTAGCTCATTGGATTCGTGGTAATCATGCCTCTTAAGATTATATCTATATATATATATATACTATATTATATACTCCCTCCGTTTCGTTTTAGTTGTCGTTTAAGGTTTTTTTACACAAATTAAGAAAATCATTAAATTTTATGTTTTACCCTTTATTAATATATTTTATAAAAAAATTCATTGGCCGAAACATTAAAACAGTAGGGATAAAACTGAAAGTTTCACAAAACATTTGCATCGAAAACCTAAAACGACAACTATTATGAAACAAAATTTTAATTCTAAAACGACAAGTAAAACGAAACGGAGGAAGTATATATATATATATATATATATATATATATATATATATATATATATATGCTTATTCCCAATTCAAAACTATTGTAATTACTGTTTGTTAAATATTTAATGGCTTTAGAGTCATAACTTTTTTACATGTTAAAATTTAATGTTGTTAATTTTGTTGACAATAGTTAAAAATGTACAATGCAGTTGGTTAGGATTCCACAAACGGAAAAAAACAGTGACACTACTAGCAAAAAGTGAAGAAAAAAAATATGGTCATATTTATGAGTACAAGACTACAAGTATACGCTTAAAAGGCAAATAAAGCAACAATAAAAAAGGGGAGTTTGTGTGTCTTTAACTTAATATATTGGAGTGTTCGAAGTCCAAAAAAAAAAAAAGCAACAATAAAACTGTAAACAAGATGATCTTTTTGTAGTCAAGAATAGAGATGCATACTAAAGAGAAAAGTTGTGAAGAGAATGAAAGAGATAAAACCTAAAGACTCAGTTTAAAGGAGTTTTACCAAGAGAGCTAGTTTTCATTGGCTTAAGTGTTTTTATCTTCATGTCTTTGTTTCGTCTTCTTGTTTTTATGAATCTTTGTTGTGTATGTAAGAATAGATGGTGAAAAACCAGTAGCCAGGGATAGATCTCTGCGGAAACATACTCTTGCTCGAACCTGCAAACTCATTACTTCTTGTTTCTTTATCGCTTTTATATTCATTCTTTCTGTGAGTGATTGAGCATATATCAATTGAATCTGTTTCTATGTAAATCAAAACCTAACACAAAGATAGATTCTAAGAAAGAAGAAAATTGAACTTTTTGTGTGGAGAAGGAGTTGATCCTTGGGTGTGATCTCACCAGAAAACTTGAGATTCTTCTCTTTGTTTGAACCAAATGTCGGCATAACTCTGTCAAGGAATCTTATACTTCTCAAATTAATTAGATCGTGTGATAGGCAAAGGCAAAAGTTCCAAGTTTTGTGAAAAAAGAAAATGATTGGGACTACTAGGTTACTTTAGGCTTCTTTGTTTACCAACAATCTTTAAAGAGAAAAAGAAAAATTCTTAACATTGTCGAGTTTCATGTTGCTGTGCGACTACACTACATGACCACGTCTCTATCTTCTAAACATAAAAGGGTCAAATAAAAGGAGAAAAAAAAAAAAGTAACAAGCGCACACGTGGCACCTTTTTCATTGTCGCCTTCCAAATCATTAATTAAATTTTTTTTTTTCTCTTCTGTCATCACCAATAATTTAATGTAATTTAATTTTCTACCGATACCAAAACCTGAAACAAATTTTTTGAAGGATACAACAGCGAAGAAGATTCAAGGAGGCAGATCTGTGTTTCTCTGTTGAAGTCTGATTGATCTGATCGGAGCTATTGTGGAGGGATATACTGCAATTGCACGTTGGTAATGGCTTCGGTTCCGCCTGAAAACGGCGTGGACGGAGATGACGAAAGAGAGGAAGAAGAAGAAGAGGAGGAGGAGGAAGAAGAAGAAGAAGAGAACGGAGATGATGCTGAGGAGGAGCCACGCCTGAAATATCAGCGGATGGGTGGCAACGTGCCTACGTTGCTATCTAACGACGCTGCTTCCTGCATCGCTGTTGCTGCAAGGATGATCGCGCTTGGTACGCACGATGGAACCGTGCATATCCTCGATTTCTTGGGGAATCAGGCGAGTTTTTTTTCACTGATTTGATGTCTTTTAGATTTTTGGAATTTCGGGGTCAATTCCAACATTTTAGGAGTTTTAGTGTTTTGGTGATACTCTAATGAATTAAGAGCTGAGGTCGATAGATGGTAGGTGCATCTCGTTAGGTTTCTTGGTTGGTGGTGGAACAGTTTAGTTAGCCTGCTTTAGCTATAGTTTGGTCAAAGTTCAATTTGATTTGGTTTATGATGCTTTGTTCAGGTTAAAGAATTTCGTGCCCACACTGCTCCGGTTAATGACCTCAACTTTGACACAGAGGGAGAGTATATCGGAAGCTGTTCAGATGATGGGTCTGTTGTTATAAACAGCCTCTTCACTGATGATGAGAAGATGAAATTTGATTATCATCGCCCCATGAAGGCCATTTCCTTGGATCCAGATTATACGAAAAAGCAATCTAACAGATTTGTAGCTGGTGGCTTGGCTGGTCACTTGTATATGAACTCCAAGAGGTGGTTCGGTAATAAAGACCAGGTTTGTGGGTAGATTACGTTTTGGAATACAATCTACCGACTGTGAATTTGATAAGAGGCTGATTTTGTAGGTGCTACATTCTGGGGAAGGTCCAATCCATTCGGTGAAATGGAGAGGAAGTCTCATCGCCTGGGCTAATGATGTTGGTGTTAAGGTGTATGATACAGCCAAAGATCAGCGTGTTACATTTATTGAAAAACCGCGAGGAAGCCCCAGGCCTGAGGCTTTACTTCCCCACTTGGTTTGGCAGGTTAGTATGGATAACTCATTTTGTCTGATTACTTCTTTGATTGTGAATTCATCTGTAACAGTATTGATTTGAAGGGTTATTTTTTTTATTGTTTCCAGGATGACACTCTTCTTGTGATAGGTTGGGGGACATCAGTTAAAATTGCTTCGATTAAATCAGACCAGCAACAACCTGGAACTTTTAGGCAGATTCAGATGTCTAGTCTAACCCAAGTAGATATTGTGGCATCTTTCCAAACCAGCTATTACATTTCAGGGATTGCTCCCTTTGGTGATTCTCTAGTTATTCTTGCTTATATACCCATTGAAGGAGATGGTGAGAAGGAATTTAGCAGCACCACTACTCTATCGCGTCAGGTACTCTCTTTCTGGTGGTTTTGGTGTTGGGATGAGATATAGGGACATAAATTTTGGTATGCCTTTTGGGACGTTGTTGGGTCTGATTCTAAGTAATCCAGGGAAATGCCCAGAGACCTGAAATACGCATTGTATCATGGAACAATGATGAACTTACAATGGATGCTCTTCCTGTACACGGCTTTGAGCATTACAAGGCGAAAGACTATTCCCTTGCTCATGCTCCTTTCCCAGGTCAGAGATTTGTTCGAAAGTAGTTTGTTTTCTAGGGGAAGGAAAGCCTACGTTTGAATACTTATTCGGAATTTGATGTGAGTGTAGGTAGTAGCTATGCTGGGGGACAGTGGGCAGCTGGTGATGAACCACTGTACTATATTGTTTCTCCAAAGGATGTTGTGATTGCCAAACCCAGGTAGATTTTTGTGGTCACTATTTGTTGTCCATGTTATTCTAGTCCTTTGTAAATGAACCTTGCGGTCGCTAACTTATTTTGATTTTTTTCTTGTTAGGGATGCTGAAGATCACATTAACTGGCTTTTGCAACATGGATTCCACGAGAAAGCCCTAGCAGCTGTTGAGGCTAGTGAAGGACGAACCGAACTAATTGATAAGGTACTTTTTCGAAAATAGGTGTTAAACCTTTTATTTTTCTTCGCATTATGGTTCATTAATTTGCTCTCCACTTTTCTATACTAAAAGAAAGTGTTTTTTTTTTTTGTTCTTCATATTTTATAGTTTTCTGTATGCAATATTTCATGACATCGAAAATAAAAACACACTTTATTCTGGAAATACCCTTTTCGTTTAACCAAAGGATTCTCTGTTCAGATATTTCCTAAGCCTAGCAGATCT